GTCAGCTGGGTAAGCAGGGCCTGATTGTCCCTTCTACACCATGACACATGCTGCATTTAATGTGCCTATTCCTCTTGAGCTGGTCCCAAATTTAGGACATATAAAGGATTAATCAAGCTTATACCCAGGACATGTCAGACAGAACATTTCTATATGCTTATGTAGTGAGTACAACTCCATCAGAACCACCTCATACAAAGAAGAGTCTGTGCCCTTTCAAGAAACCAAGGGGAACAGTCAGATGCTTGTGTATTTGGATGATCAGAACACACTAAGTATATCCCAAATTCTTAAAATCATAGGATTGGTTTAAAAGGTATGACACTTAAGAAAATAATAATATAGGATTGGTTTTCTGCCTAGTGATTTTCCAAGTCTTTGTTTCTTCATCTTTGACCCACTATCTTAGAACCAGGAAATCTGATTTAAAAAAAAAAAAAAACCATGATCCAGGAGTGAGGCTTTAGGGACATCCCTGCCAAATATTGGACATGGCAACTCCACAAAAGCTTTTGCTTTGGGTCTTCTGCTCCAGAGCAGTTTCAGTTTTGCTTTCCATATGTCTATCCAGCCCATTCAATATGAAATGAAACCTATACCCTTTCTTCTAATTATGTATACTGTCCTCAACCAGGGGAAACTGAAATATAGGATGTCTGAAAGAAATTCAAGTATCAACTGATTAGGCTCAATTTACTACATTCATGAAATGCAATCTTAGTTTTCAGTTGTAAAACCCAACCTTGTTCGTATCCAGCAGTAGTTTCACAGGTATATACTCTGCATTAAAAATATATACCTGCATACATCCATATGTCCAGGGTTTCAGTACATTGGACCAAATTCTACCTTGAGTTATACTCCACTGACTTCAACAGAATCTCCTAGGAATATACATAGAGTAGGCAAAACTAGATCCATCACTGCTGCACAGCCTACCTCCTTCTCATTCCTTTCATTGATTTTCCTCCCATTTGGCCCCATTCTTAAAGTCTTTGGCAGGTTAAGAGTTAGGCAAATTATTTGGAAACAACTTGTATTTACTGATCTTCATTCACTGTACAAATTACACAGTCATGTGAGGTAAAAGAAGGATTTTTGCTAATATCTTATTTAAATACTAATTGACAAATAAGTTCTAAAGACACTGGCACCTTTATCACTTGTGTGCTTCCAAAACATTTTAAAACTCTGACGGAGCACACAATCTTCTATTCCCTTCTGAGCAACTAATATTCATTTAAATACCACATTGGTTTTCTTTTCTTTCCACTTCATGTCAGCTGTTTGCAAATTGACCCTCATGACTCTACAAATTCAAGGCAGTCATACCTTGAAATTCATTGGAATGCTGCCGGACCTATTATTTGCAGGACTTTGTAGCTGCATAAATAAAATGTCAACTAACTGAATATACTAGGCATACAAAGCAACGTAGAAAGCCATCTGTAATTAAGAGGTATAAAAAGAGCTCCACTATCTTGTTAGGGAAAAATGATAGATACAACTGCAATTTCAACTAATTCAGCCAGCAAAGAGCAGAAGTGCATAAATATACACAAAAGCCAGCACATTAGTTCTCAGAATACATCTAATTAAATCTAGTTGGAACAATGAATTACAATAGATTCGTTTATGCCTCATAACAACTACTGTATTTTTCTTCGTAGTTAGCAAATTTAGCGTTTTGCAGATCTTTTGCTTACACAGGTGCAAATTTCTTGAATCTGACACTGTTTCCTATCTCACTAGTGATCTTTGGCTTTTGTTTCGCACCTACCAGAAAGCTACACTCCTCTGCCACCTAGTGCTTTGAAGAAGTATATTTTATATCAGCTGCCAGCTCTTGCTAGCAAAGTGTGTTCAACAGAATAGATGAGGACTGTGCAGAAACCTTTAATTAAAATTCCCTTGCTAAATGGGAGATTAAAGAGCAACTTTGTTTATCAACCTCTACGGATATCGTAATTGATCACTGCCAGAGATCACCTCTATCTCTGCAGTCTTACTATGACACAAAATCAGTTAGCAACTTGCATCCTTGTATTTTAAGACATTACATCATCTTCCTTGTTCTTCCTAAAATGTAAAATAAAGTATTTTTACATAAAATCCTTATAGAAGAAAAACATAATCAAATATAACATGTATTTAATCATATGAAAAAGAATGTCTTTTTTCAACTACTAGCAGGTTCCCAATGTATCAAAGTGAAACTCCCCTGAAGCATATAATTTTTGTTTTAAATGGATTCTGGAGTACAGCATTTGTAACAACCAGCTTGCTTTCTGTTAGCTTTAATTTACAGTGTTTCAAAAAGTATATGTTTATATATTAGCACTATTGCAATTTATATTTCTTTCAAATTACATATAAACAGGGTTTATTTCAAGTAACAGACTATGCCACGTTTTAGAGGAATTATGGATTTTTTTAAAATTTTTATTCTTTTAAAAAGTAATGGAGCTTTGTACTGTCAGTGTTAATAAAACAAAGCTATGAAAATGAGCTTTCCTTTACTCCTCTTTTGAAGGAAAAGTCATTCAAACTAAACTGTTCTGACTCTCACTGAAGGTAATTTATTTTTCAGAAAATTAACTGGTACTACATCAATTGCATACATGAATCTTCAGTATTTGTCAGTTGTTTCTAATTTTAGAGACCATGAATACCACACGTTTTAATGACTTACCCCCTTACTCAGAAACCACTATGAAACATTATCAAGCATCTCCTCTTGTCTGGATTGCACAAATGAAGTACTAACATAAGCAGTTGGCTGTGAAATGAATCGTTACCTAACTGTGACCTGGCAAGTATCTTAAAATGTCTAGTGTTGAAGCTGCCTAACTTCACTCATGTTTCATAAGAACTCTATTTGTAAAGCATCTTCATTGCTTCACTGATACTATAATTCAGTAAACTAAAGCAATATACTGCCAATTATAATTATTACTACATTAGCAGAAACCATGTCCTCTCTCATATTTAGAGAAAAATACTTTTCCTTTTTTTTTTTTCTTTGTAAAATAACCTCTGTGTTTCTGAGAAATTAACCCATGACTCTCAACATCCCAGGCTAATTTAGCTTATTTCTCTACAGAACCTTTGTCAAAAATATAAATATATAAAAAACAACTAAGACAGTAAGGTGTAATTGGTCCTATAATATGGGGACAAAGAAACAAAAAAACCCCACCTCTCTCTAAAACACATACACACCTTTCCCTCGGGACAATATATCTGTCTTATTGCTTGGCTAATCTCACCTCCAATGTGTCAGTCTCATCCCATACAGCTTTGTCAAAAGTATGCCTTCCACTCTGCATCCTGCTTGCCACCTTTTATTGGCTTCAGTTCTGAATAAGTGAAAAACAGATACAACTAGAATGAACCCTGTTTGGACAAATCGAAAAGAACTTACGTTTTTTGCTTGGATACTGTCAACTAAATGGCATCAATTTACACTTACCAGCTTTCATTATTCCCTTAGACTGTGGAGGAAATACATCTCCGCTAACAGCTGTTCCTACCAGCTATGTTTCAGAACATGGAATCCAGAGTAAGGAAAGAAGAAGTGAAGTGTTACAGCACATGAGCCAGCTCCTTAAGCAGGCATAACTGGCTCAGCCACGTACAAATGAAGGCTATTCTGGAAAGCGTGGTCCTGTGTCCTCCACTTTCATATTCTTACTGTCCATGTTGCTGCTTTCCTGACCCTCACACGAGTCAAGATACACGGAGGTACCCACTAAAAACTAAGCTGTAGAAAGCCAGGGAACAGTTCTCTGTCAGCATAGCTCCCCAAACCAGGACAGCACAGGAGCAGATACACTCAAGTGCCAAGGAAACACAGGGGCAACCTAGCCAGGGTTAGAGGTAGACTTGCATTTTCTGGCAGCAAATAGCTATTAGACTGGCTGAGCAATACCGTTTGTATATTGAAATCGCAACCTAAAATTGAAAACAGTCTTAATCCTAAAGGCAACGGTGCTACTGTGTGGCTAAAACCGAAGTGAAAATCTGCAGCTAGGTGCTGTAAGTGCACCACTGAAGAGCACCAATGGACAGTAGAGGGCAGAGCTGACCCCTCTCAGCAGAAGACTCAAGACAGGAAGGCACTACTGTTCTTTGCGGTTTTCCAAGCACACACTGACCACTCGGACTACTTAATGGCAATGGCTGCAAAGAATCAGCTTTGACCCTTGTCAACTTTACAGATTTCCAGTCACTACATTTCAATTCATTATTTCACTCAAGAAATCAGGTGCACTGTGAGGGGAAAGAAAAGGCTTTCCATATCCCTTTAAGACAGAAAATTATTTTGTATACTGACAACAGCAAGAAACACTTAATCTTCAGTCTGGTGCAGAAAAAGTGCAAATACTACATGGCAACCACCATTTTGCTCAAAACCAGGAATATCACCAAGTATCTGAAACAGCAGCATTGTGGAGAGATCCAGGCAGATACTGTTAGGATGGCATGGAAATAACCAGATAACTGTATCTTTCCCTGTAAATATCTCTAATCAACATTGGGTTTGAACTTTTTTTTTTCCTTTTTTTTTTCCTCCTCCAAAACAGCAGCAGCCAAAACCAGAAAGCAGAATCCAGTGGAAAACTTAACATACTTTATTTTACACCTGTAGATGTTTTCCCTTTGTTAAAAAACATTCATTTACAAAACCAGCATAGAACATTAGCATACAAATTATTCAGTGTACTGTATGCAGATATCCAAACCCAAGGTAGATCCTGATTTCTCTTTAATTGTTGACTGCTATGATGTATCACTGAGAAGCATTTCCCACTGCATGCTACAGAAACACCACCTGACTGCAATATCATATGGCATGACATGCAATTCAAGCAGGCTTCCCAAAAGTTCATAGGTTTTCTGTATCAACATTGAGTGAACAAAATGAAGAAAACATTCTTGAAAATCATGGCCTTTCTCGCTGTAGCAACTGTTTTTGTTACAGCATTAGTTCTATAGCATCAATTTTGAACAAACCAAGATGGACGCTTCCTGGCTCTTTCAATGATCCGCTTGCCTTCATCTTTTTCTGTGGGCTTTTCTCCATCATAAAGGACAACAGTCTCTACAGTTGGAGCATTAAATGGTCCTCCTTCCTTTTTCTGCATTTCTATCCGTATCAGTTGAGTTTCTGCTTTGACCTTTGCGTAACAATAGCCACAAAGGACGTGTTTCTGTTTCAAGTTTCCACACTCAGGACAAACATCTATGTTCCTCTAAAAAAGACAGTGGAAAGTAGGAAATTTTGTAATTTGAACAGCAACAAAAGAAACAGGGAACAATCACAAACTACTAAGATGTTAAATGAAATACCAGAGAAATTAAATTGCCTTTTCAAAATTTATTTTTCTGTGTAATTTTTCTTTAATGTATTGCCATGTCAAATGCTTATTACTAAAAATAGCCTACAAAGTCAATATCTAAATCATTATGCCTATTGATAGGAAGACTAGAGACCCATCAACTCAAATAGATGCACAGAAAGTATAGACCTTTTCCATTTATAATAGCTGTTCAGCTAAAATGCACATTTTGCTGGTTTGCGCCTAAACTGTCACTGTTTATTTAACCACAGACCAGTGTCACATATGATGAATGTACCTGTACAAAGTATTTTGACGATTACAATGTCTTTTAAGGTTATTTAGAAACAAATTCCAGAAAGCTTTTTCAGTCAGTATTGACCACTATAATTATTTTCTAAAATGAGCGAGATGAAAAATGACTGCTCTACATCTTACTCCAGCATGCTTGTTTGCCATTAACAAAATTACTTGCAGTGAATAGGGTGGCAAGCCCGTGGAAATCTGGTGATTACCTTTACTTTTATAAGCTTATTGGGATTTCTTCGCCTGCAGCGGTTCACTTCAATGGTGCGCCTTTTCTTTGGCGCTGCCATCCACAGGATGCTATCTAACAGGCTTGGCGCCTCATTACTGTCGCTGATGTCGTTTACTGGTTGTGGAAGGAAAGCTGGAGCTTGGACAGCTAGTGCTGGTCCTGAAGAAAAAAGGTAATTCATTACACCCAACACCCATTTTCGCGTGCAGCCGAGGAAATACGACACGGATGCTGCTGACACCCCCAACGCGAGGCGATAAGTGGCCAGCGGCACCTCCCGCCCCATCCCCC